ATGCACACATCGCACAGCGTGTGTGCAGTGCATAGGAACATGTATGCACCCTCTGCACCCTGCACTCTGCACCGCATGCTCCCTTCGAGGCCCAGGGCACTTGTCGTTGATAGCCCGATTGATGTCCTGTCATAGCACCACAAATTCCAACAGATCCCTCATGTGAATTCGAGTTCTGAAGAGCACGACCAGAAGGCGAGTGGTGACTGAGATGAGACAGGCGACGTTGCGCCAGCCACGATCTCGGTTGCGGCTGCCAGAGGCAGTCCACGCAGCCCTAGCAATCCAAGGCTGCGAGCAGCGTGCCGCCTCCACTGACAAGTCTGCATATGCATTCAAGCCTTCTCCCACTGCTCTACTCTTGATGCCGTGAGGTTGCCAGAAACCCGGGCCTGGCATTGAGCTCCTGTCACGCGGACACCAGTAAGGCGAAACCACCCATCCTCGCTCGAAAGGTGAAGGCAGTAATACGCAAAGTCTGCACAAGAAAAGCGATTTCTCTGAAGTGTGGCAGCTACAGGCACGCAGCACGGAAAACTAAGTTTCAACAACATCCGTGTAGAAGCCATTGCTGACTCATCAATTGACACAAATGCCAACTCCTGTCGTCGAGACAAATGAATAAGCAGCGGTACTCGTACAAGTACCGGACATAAAGGGAAGCGCTTGGCTCAAGGACTTTAAATGAAGATTTATGGTTTGCAGCTCTGCATCTGGGGCTTTGATACCCTTCAGTCAAAACTCATATCGATTACTACAAGAGGCTTTCAACTCTTCATGAACCCAAACCCGCAACTGCCGAAAAACCCTAAAACCTCAAATGCTACTGCCTCGCAGGTTTGGGTTTTGGGTTTCGGTTTTCCGGTCAGGATTTCATTTCAGAATTAAGGGTTAAGGGCTTGGGGTTTAGGCATCAGATCAGCTGAGGGATGCGGGACCAGGAATTCTTTCCGGGGTGTCGGGTTCAGGGCGGAGTCAGGCTTTTGGGGTCGAAGGTTTGGTTCAAACAAGGAATCTTGAGACTCGAGTGGTAGGAAAGGCCAACCACCCCGTGCCTGTGACCTCCAATCATTGCGGTGCGCTGATACGGCGACTAATTAAGAAAAGCGACCGGGCATCGCGACCGCCACGGCTTCCAGATCCGTAAAGCGCTCAACGGGGCAGCTGGAAATCCAGAGGAGCATGTTTCCTGCAAGCTTGCGTGTTCACGACAAGTCTCGAACCTGGCAACTTCCGCTTGGAATAAGGTATGAAGCCATGTCCTTTCCGGCAATGGTACCCGAAATCTCGCAGGCTTTGATCCAGCGGCCGTCCTTAGCACGGCGTCACGGCCGCTCTGGGCTCCGGCTGCACACCACTTCCAGACGAACGAAAGGCTAAGCGAGCTCAGGCTCTCCAGAGTCGTATTGGAGCTCGTACTGGCACTGGAGCCCTGTCAGCGGCTTGATGCTTGCATAGGAGATTAGGGGCAGAAGACACGCTCAAGGCACATCTCTTCTTCTGCGTCGCGGCCTCTCCAATGAAAGATTTCCACCTGTGATAGCTTTGTTGGCTGAGCCAGTGTGATCTTTGCCCACGAGGTGAAGTGGACGCCTGGATGCAAACATGCGCAATCCTTGTGAACTACACAGCTCTCTATCTCTAAGGGTACACTTCGGAAAGGTTTTCTCTGAAAAACAGCCTTTACAATGCCCGGTTGCCGAATCCTCTGTTCCAGGTGGTCATGTCATTCTGCGCCGTGATCTGAGAAGTGCAATCTCTGCTTCCCCTCCATCCTGCTCGAAAGGAATCAATGGAACGGATGGACTAACTGGAGCTAGATGTACCCGAGTAAATCACACGGATGTTCGCATGGCACATGGGCATCCAGGACCTCCCCACCAGTTGTTGGTCTCGCAGATGACATTGCCGGGCTCGATCTTTGCCACCTCAGCCTCGCAGTCCGCCTGACAAGGCCCAAGAGCGGAAACCCTTGAAACAAGACAGCTTGAAGGCTTGGCGAATTTGGGATGCGCCTCCCGCTTGGAGAAGCGCCAGGTCGTTCCTCCGAAAACAGTCTCCTGACTCGCGCAGCATGGTGGTCGGTCTGACACACACGGACACTACTGCTTGAAAAGGATGGAAGACATGGAATGTGTTTGATGTGCTGTCTTCCTTCAGGTTCCTGCGTAATTGCCCTACTGCTTCGTCATGATTCGACTGCATATACGTTCTGCCTAATGCTCACATGTTTACCCAGTGGTTCTACATTCTAGATTCACAGAATGAATGACTTACAAGTGTTGGGTCTACTTTGGTACTGTCAGTGGCTCAGAAGGGGAAGCTCCCATGCGGTAGCCTCAGGACTTCATCACTACAACCTAAACTCCCTAAACCCTCACCAGCCTAAACCCCCTGAACCTGCTGGAAATTACACAAAAAGAGCACGGCAGCGGCAGCAGCAGCAGCAGCAGCAGCAGCAGTGGCACGAAATCACAAAACCGGAAAGCCACCGAGGAAGGTCTCCTTGTCCCCGGATTTCCTGCACGGGCTTCACGGCTTGAGAATCTGAGAAGTTCAGCCCCGCCCGACGGGACGACGGGTCCGCCTGGGGAGCGCTGCCGGGCTGGCACCCATGAGCAGCGCCTCTCTTGCCAAGCAAAGAGATCAGGGCCGATTCTTTAGACTCCGTGCCTTGGTGCCGAACTCGCAGTCCCGGTCATCCCACAAGTTCCTCGGACGACTCGCGATAACTCTGAGCCCAGACCCCTGTGAAGCGTCTCTTGGCAAGCATCTCTGATTCTGGCGGCAGCGCATTGCTGAAAAGGATGCGGTACTTGCCTGGAAGTCGGGGAGATTGGGAGCGCGACAAGATGCCTTCTCGACAAGACCAACACCGAAGGCATGCGCTGCCTCCATTCTTCTGGCCGTCCATCAGGCTGACGATGGCATATTGCATGCCCTTCACCTTTGCTGCAGATGCACGCCTAGATGTGTCACTTCACAAGTCTTTTCTCTCTGTCTCGCTCAGATGCGTGGTGGCACGAATCCAAGGCTGAAGCGTTCGAGCCATAGTCTCCAGCCACGTTCGACTCCCAGACCTTGGAAGACGTGCCAGGGAAACCTTCCCCACAGGGCTGAGGCAAATCCGACTGAGCACCGTGGCCTCAGCCAAGCTCTTCGGGACTGGATCTGGTGTTGCCGACGGCGCTATGAAACCCCATGGAAGATGGGTGCCCCAAGTGCCCAAGCAGGTCACCTGGTCGGTTCTGCATATGGAAGGGTGCACTCTTGTCAAAACTCCGCTTCATGCTCCCATGTCGGCAGGCAAGCAAGCACAGCTTCCATCTCTGCTCCTACCTGGCGGTAAATGCGCCAGGTGGTTCCCTCCCAGGTCGCGTTTGTCTCCGCTGACTTGGCGGCAGAGTCTGCCCTTGCAGGATTTGTGTGACTCTCTCTGTGTGCTCTGTCCAATGTCATCATCTCAAGCCTTGCCTTGCACCAGACTTCAGTGATGTCCCAAAATCGCAGTCTGCATCGTTCCAGACCGCTGTCGACGAGGGAACACTGGTGCCAAAGACAATCTGACGGATGCCTTACCAGCAATTCTCATACAATGGTCTGTGCAGATCTGCCACTTCCCGATCCACATGGTCTACAAATCATTGCAGGCTGTGCAAAGGGGTGGTTGCAGGCTTTTCTTGGGGCCACAAGACATGGCGCACCCTATCCGAAGAACTAGATACCCAAACTCCATCCTTCTTGTCAAGCAGGTGCTGGGACGTCTGTTCTGTTTGTCCGAGTCACCGTCGCTGTCTTCGCCCCTCGCCACGGCAATGGCTGCAAATCGCATGCCCTGCACCTTGGACCGAGAGTCCCAACAGCCTGCAGGCTCCCAAGATCCCAAGACATGCCCCTCACTCGTGAAATATGCCTGCCAGCCGCATTGGTACCGTATTTGCCTCCGTCGTTGTATGCCCAAACCTGGTCGTCCCGGACACAACAACAAAGCACCCTGAGAGCCAGTTCAGTTCCAGATTCCCAAGTAGAGCACTTAACAAGGCTGAATAGAACCGGGGAGACTCGGACCCACCTCCTCGATGCTTCGGGCAGGGATCAGCGGCTGCAGTGAAGGCTCCGTGAAGCCACTCGGCAGAGAGACGCCCGCAGTGCCCACACAGGTCACCTGCGAGTCTTTGAATGTTGAACTCTTCCGGTGTCCTTCGAGTTCGTTGCTGAATGCTAAACATTCTGAACCCTGAGCAGAACTTCTTTCCCAGGCCTTTCGTCCAGGACCGGTTCCGAAAGGAGAGTCCTTGTATTTCGATGCAGCAGATGCGCTTCTATCCGAATGGCCGAAGGGCCGAAGCTCTTGAACAGATCCGCGCGTCCTTCTCGATTTTAGAGAGGTCTGGAAGCGTGGAGCCTCCCTCGCGCACTCGCTGCTGCCAACCTCGAATAAACAGAAGCAGCCTACAGGATTGGCAGCCCTGTTCTGTGCTTCCCAAGCCACGGCCGCGCCAGGTGAGATTCGATCCCAGCTCCAGTAAAACGCCTGGGGCTGCCTCGGCCGAGTCAAGCCGGGCCTTGGCGGGGCAAGGCCAAGGCACTGACAAAGCCTACAACGGCTCAAGTCACTCACTCCCTGAGATTCAGACAAAGTGTTCGCCGTCATCGATCTCGCTGGACACAACTGTAAGGCAGCAAAGGCTCAGCGCCCAAGCGTGAATCATGGATCTGACATTGACGGGAATGCTACGTAAGGATGGAAAAGTCTACAGACAGACGATGCAAGGGGTGGCCCTGTTGGCCAGAGCCTTTGAGCCCAAAAGCAAGGGACAGTGACAAACTTGAAGCTTTTTCCTGGTGCAGAAAGGATTCTACCTGATTTCAGCACCTGTGGGTTGAATGCAGATCCCAAACCATCTACAGACCTCGCCTTCAGACACCCTACACCCCTTTCTCTGCAAGCATTACGGCATATGCTCCAGATGTGTGAGACCGGCTTGCCACCTTCGTGGCTACTCTGAAGAGTAAGACTTCAGCAAAGCCAAGCTTGCTGATGTTGTTGCATGATTCTCGTTGAGAATGTCAGCCTTACCACACAGTATCCAACTCGTGTCAACGACCCAATCTCATGCAGAGCCGAACGAACAAAAGCAACCTGACCTGTCATCATGTGGAGTATCGTGAATCCTCAAGCTAGGGCACGTAGCATGAAGCGATGCTGCATGTGATGCCGAGGTGCAAACTTCACAGTGCGTGTGCACAGTGCATCCACGCCAACCATACTCCAGTTAATGTCGTTGATCATCCACGAACGATCTTCAATGGCTCCAACGAGGAGAATTCCGAAAATGTGTAAATGCTGCCACACGGCACCACCAGAGTCAGCGATCAGATTGCAAAATTGAACTGCATTGAGACCAACCCAGTAGCATGCACTATGACGAGCGTAAAGCCGCCCACGATGCTTCCATTCCGCAAAAATGCATGGCAGGGACACGATGTCCTCGGCAGATACAGTATCCTCATGCCATTGGTTGTTCAAGTACACGTAGTTCAAGCTGCCAGACTCAATGATGTAGACCTCTGAAGAGACGACGTTTCACAGGACACGCGGTTCCAAGCTAGGCAGCTAGGTGCTCACAACTCCTGGCCCTGATTTTGTTTCGATCTCGCCCGAAACTAGTGCACGCTGTCCTCTCGTTGCCAGCAAAGTTACCCGAATGCAACACACCAATAAACAGAAAGAGGCAACGTCTCAGCGCCATTAGCCCGCCTCCTCCGCATTCGCACCTGCGATAAAGGCATCCTGGCCTGGGACCGCCGTGCCCTCTCGCATCGCCTTGAAAGCCGGGAAAGACAAATGAGGCCACCTGGAACTGTTTCTGACCGAGCGCCTGATGGCAGATGAGCCGATGCAATAAGCTGTCCCTCTCACCAACCCACTTGGGCCAGAAGGGAAGGAGGCTCAGAAGAGACATGAACATCTCCTGCAACCGCTGCATGTTTACGAACACAGCTCATGTCTTGCGAGCGTGGCTCCTCATGCAGCTGCATCTTGAGGCGCTCCGGAATGCCCTCTACCAGTTTGACGTCGTGCTCCTTGATCCGGACCTCAAATAGTCCTGGAGTTTTCAATTACGAAGGGCTGATCCCTCACAAAGTGCTAGAAGTGTCCTTCTTGTCGCAACACGTCTTCAATCTTTCCATAAAGGTCCTGCACGGTGCTGGCATTGAAGCATCCCAGTCAGCTTCCCTCCTTTCGCAAGTTACTTGCCCCTTCCCCTCGGGTGCTCCGCTGAGAGGTTTCGCTCCACAAAGAATCGAAGCAGCTTCGCTCGTTGCTGGAACTGCTCCACACGCGAATTCTGCAGTTTGCCTCAGACGAAATGTCATGCAAGAGCCCTCTGAAACATCTGAATCGGCATGCTGAGCTGTTGTTTCCATCATGCACACCAACCCTCCACAGAGCATTATGCTTGCCAGGCACTCACAGTGGCAGTGATAGAACTGATAAATGATGAGAACACGCCCATTGCCAGCAGGATTACCCACACGGCGAAAAACCTCCGGCAGTCACCCCAAAGTGCGGCAAGCAACACACCATGCTGGCCCGAGCCACAAGCTGGCTAGAACAGTGACGTGAAGCAAAGCTGGTCTGATGCAGGCAGGATATGCATGCTGACGTTGTCTGGGCCGCTGCTTTGCGGCGTCTCGTGACCGCCACACATTAGGCATCCAAAGCGTCGCAGCTACGCTCGTGTCTTCGCAGGAGTGCATCTGCATACAACCAACTATTGGTAGATTGGTTTCGGGGACTTGATATCGCGGGACGGATAATGTTGCTTCTGCTGCTCTTGGTAATGACCTTTCTGGTGATGATGATGAGGATGATGAGGATGATGAGGATGATGAGGATGATGAGGATGACCATGACGATGACGATGACGATGACGGTGACGATGAGGATGAGGATGATGATGATGATGATGATGTCGATGATGGCGATGCGATGTTGATGATGATGGTGATGATGATGGTGATGACAACAACGATGACGGAGACAAACCAGATCGTCCAGAAGCTCCGCCAAAACTTCATTTTTCTCGTGTTGCACCTCTTTTAACTTGAAGTGCACACTTCTGATGCGAAGGTATAGCATGATGTGGCCAGGAGCAAGGCGATGTTACTTTGCAGTCAGTCAGACAGAAGACCAGCCTTTCGAGGGCATTGTATGGAGCCACATTGTTCGTCGCTGGCGTAAACTGGGTCAGCGTCCAATGAATTGAAACCGCGTACCTCACAGCTGCACACTATGCGGTCTGACGTTTGGTCAGTTTCCGGTGTCCGTGCCTGTCGGCAAAGCCCACCTGACAGGTTTCGGCGGGACCAGATGCGACTTGGTCATTGGTCTTACACTTGGCTGGCTGACATCAAGAAACTCAGGTGCACGTGTCATCGATAGCATGTTTCCTGGGCCGACTGGCCATTCGGTTTTCGATGGCTAAGGGACCTAGAATTAGTGAGAAAGGGAGCTTGAAGTGAAGCACCCAAGCACCTCATCGCCCAGCAGCTCTGCCTGCTCCAACCAACTCCTGCCATCCAGAGCCGTCCTTCCGCAGCACTCGACATGCCAACTTCAAACCGTCTCTCGCCTGGTGTAGTAGATCTCTCACGAAGGCGCGCCCAAAGAGGCAATGGAATAAGAGGCAGGGCCTGTGCCCATCGACCTTCCCTCACTGATCACTCATGTCTTCAGTGAAACAGAAACACCACGATCTACTTAAGTTGGAGACACTAGTGGAAGCTCGTATCGACGCACTTCCAAACTCAGAGACACTGCCAACAACGACTCGGACAAACAAAGCGCCACCCCAACTCACAAAGCTCTCGTAGGTTCTTCACCATCATGCCTCTTTGGTAGCAGTGGCCGGAGAGTGAATCGACTGGTACTACCCATTACCCTGTAAGGATTGTCTCAGCTGAGAAAAACTCTCAACCTTTCTTCGACCCAAGACACCCCAGCCCTGCAGTGCGGTGAGACTGGTTCTGGGCAGAATTGGCATCTGACATCACGTGACTCGCTGCTCCTGAACGCTGCGCTGTACTTCAATCATCTCGACTAATGCACACCAGTATGTCCCCCATGCAGATTCCCAGGGGGCCCAAGCTACGATCAGTCGTCCATGGCGCACCGTTACTTTAGGCATGCACAGAGTCACTGGTCAGTGACTGCTTCCAATCGAGCTCCGTAGGTTTGTTAGCGCGACTACACACACACTCTTTCTTTCGCCAGGGCTAGGGCGAAGGCCGGCGACCCCTTCACACACACACACTCTCTCTCTCTCTCTCTCTCTCTGTCTCTCTCTGTCTTCTTCCACACAGTCAAGAGCACGGCAGGCACCGTACTCTGCGCGCGTGCGCGCACTGGTTGTGCGGTCTCAGTGTGAACTCTAAGCTCGATGCTGGCCGAGGGTTACGAGCAGAAATCCCCCATAGCTAAGTCAAAACCCCTGGCCTCATCAGGCCCTCACCGGCACTGTTTCCCCTCTCTGTCTCTCTCTGTCTCTCTCTCTCGCTCTCTGTCCCTTCCCGGTCCAATATCCAATTCCATACCAAAGGCAGGCGATGATGTGATTGATTGCGAGCATCCTCAGCAAGGAAACAACAATGTGCCGATCAGTTGGCCATGACTGCTGCCCGGGGCACATAAGCAAGCCGAACACCACCTTTGCCACCATAAAAACCTGAGCCCGTCTGAAAATCGATAAGGCATCGGTCCGTGCTAGGTTTTGCCGTGCCAGGTTTTTGGTGCAAGATTCAGGTCTGCTTCATCAATCTCAAAACACATCTTACACCCACGATGCAGCTTCAATCCCAAGTACTGTTCTCATACGACATCCTGGGCGAATTCGGCTCAGTAGCATGGGCAGACAGAAACCGGTTCGCCAGAAGTGTCAGCTCCTTGCCAGGCTCTGTCTGCACTCGCTGAGCACTCATAAACAAGTCCCACAGTGCCTTTCCGCCATTGGGTGGGACATGTCTGACGTGCCTACTGCCGAGTTATACTCCGATGCTGACTCCTGTTTCATCCTGGGCTTTTCCGAAACAACCGTGGATGAGGAAACCTCACCCAGGCCTGCTGCAGCTTGACAGCCCGCAGAAGCCGCAGGAGCCGAAGAAGCCGCATGGTGCGAAGGAAGCGAGCGGATCTGCAGGCATGTTCAGACAACATCGGAAACAGGTGCACTGCTCCCCAAGCCCTACTCTGTGCATTCCCCGCATATGCGAGGAATGTGAGGTTGGATGAGGTTGGCGGAGCTGGGCCGTTGAGTCTCGGGCTTGGGCCTCCTCCGTGCGCTTGGGGGCTGAGGTCGGGTGAAGTTGGGTTGTTGGTCTGGTTGGTTTACGTCGGGCCGCCCTGGGATGCCTCAGAAAAACCCCTCGAAAACCCACTTTTGGCAAAAAGGACTGGCATCACCGATATCAACCATGGCATGGGTGACCTGCAGCCTTCGGGCCGTGGCTGCATGGCCAACATAATCATGAATCATCTACATATCATGCACAGGCTCCCTCGCCAACGGAGCTCCACACCTGAGGCCCGTGTTGCTCTGGTCATCGGTCGACGTAGTCGAAACTATCTCGACGACCATCAACACCACATCCAGGGAGATGACAAGCACGTCCAACACGAACCAAGAGCCTCAAATGAGGTCTTCTTCGCAGCTTCATTCTTGTTTAGCGGTTTAGCAGTGATGAGACCAGGTTCTTCAAGGGGCGTAAGTACATCTTGAAGAGCTCTGTGGGTCGGAGTTCCACGCGTCCGCCTCTTTCGACCCCGAAACAAAGGTTCAGCGGCATGTCCACGATCCAGAAGGCCAGAGTGATCCTGGTCTCATGCTCAGGCGATCTCAGGCGATCTCAGGCGACTCTCGACTCTCTGAGACCCTCGCCTGGACGTCGTGGAGAAGAAGTCGATGGAGCCTGGGATGTTGAAGAGCTCCAGTGGGATCGTGATCAGATCAAAGAGGATGAGCAGTGTGCCCAGCATGGACCACGTGAGCTGTGGCTTGCTGCGGGGTCTCAAAACGAAGCGCTGCCAGCAAGTACTGTCTGTGAAATCGTCGCTCATCCGTATCTGAGGCAGTGAATGCCGATCGGAAACTCGATATCCACGCATTCGTCGGTTCTTCCTAAGTGATGCGTGATCGCAGAAGCATCACCACAAGTCACCCACAGACAGGCCAAGGCACGCGGCCTCCTGCCAGGTACTGGAGAACCAGACCGGCCGCATGTTCAGGGTTTCCATCTGGTTTGGCTTCTCTGGGTCGGGCTCGACTTCGGTTGATTCCTGGCGTCAATGCGAGAGGCAGCCGTGCAAGCCAATCCAGCTGAGATCATACTGCTGACCCTTGCATGTCGCCGGTCCTCTTCCTTGTCGAGAAGCTTAGCTGCAAAATCCGCCCAACGCCCGACAGCGTTCCCATCGGCAATCGCCTCATGAGAGACCGACCTGGGCTTATGCTGCCATCGTGTCAGCTCTCTTGAAGGCCAACCTCTGACAGCTCCTAATGCTAACCTCCGATTTGCAAAACAACGTAACTGTGCGGTCGTACGGAATAAACAGATAGAAATCAAAAGAGTAGAGCTGCGCTAGTAGTATTCCGACTTGAGGCTCTAAATTGAAGCCCTGAGCCCGACGAGAGGCTTAGTTTGAGGGTTTGCGGCTCTAAGCTGAAGTCCGTATCACTCTGAGAGGCTTATGCTCTAAACTGAAACCACTAAACTCGACACGGGCTTCGTTGTTAAGCGTATTTTCGGCATTAACCTCATATTATTGGTTTTAATGTTGTCTACCAATAGCAGTACTACCATGACTACCACGGCTACCACCACTACCACCACCACAACCACCAGCACGACCACGACCACGACCGTGACCACGACCACTACGACTACAACTACCCCGCTACTACCACTACTCCTGATCCTACTCCTACCCCAACTCCTCCTCCTACTACTACTGCTGTTACTTATACTTACTAGGACTACCACCGCCACCACCACTACTACCACTTCTTCTGCTACTACTGCCAATACTGCTACTGTTGATATACTGCAACTTCTGCAACTTCTGCTACTACTGCTACTACTGCCACTACTGCTACTACTGCTACTACTACTACTGCTGCTGCTGCTGCTGCTACTACTACTACTACTACTACTACTACTACTATTGCTACTGCTACTGCCCCGGCTACTGGTACAAGCGTAACCGTGCCGCTCACCCACTTAAAGAATGGTTGCTCGGTCCAGCTGCAGGCAAAACTGCTTCCCCCTCTGCTTCCCAAATGCACAAGCGAAGGCGCATGACTGCTTGCTAGTACCACTAAAACTCTGAAAATTGCATCCTTCTTTTCCAATCCCCAATCGGTTTTATCTAACCCCCTCCCTTTTTGTGACCCCTGAACCTGCTTTCATGGCCCTCAACCTACTTGTCTGACCCCCTCGCTGACCTTGACACTTCTTTCTGACTCCTTCTCTTCTCCGCTAGACTTTCTAGCCTCCTTCCTTACCACTTGACCGTTGACTTAATGTTTGAACAGAACACGCGCTCCACGCTTGCCGTGGTTCAGCAAAACCTCTGCTTTGACTCTACATGCAAAATGCGAGAAATCCATCAAACCCACGTGAGGCCCGCAAACCTAGAAATGAAGTCCCAAGGCATTGCAGCTATGTGCCCCATCACAATCATTACCGGGCCGCTGCAACCGTAAACCCTAAAGCACTCAAAAGACTATCCCAATTGCCACGGCTCTGGACAACCTAGGCTTTGACCCGAAATCCCAAATCCAAGAAATCCATAAAGGCCATCAAAGGCCACTCGCACCCCTCGAACAGTTACTACCGGGCCCATTGCAGACCTTTCCGCTGCACCCTTAAAGGCAAAACCCGAAGCGGACAAGGGCCATGACACCGCTTTCGATATGTTATCCCTGTTTCCATGGCTCTGCAAAATCTTGGGTCTGACCCTAAATGCACAATCCGACAAAGCCACAAAAGCCGCGCGCAGCCCTCAAACATGGTTTTGATGTCCAAACTTGCTGAAACCCCGATCCATCCGGCTAAACCATGTTAATCCCAATTTTGGAGTTTGTTTGCGCGCATAGCTGCAAGCCCCGCTTTTGTAGTTCAAAACGTGTTGCTCCGAAACCTGAACCTGCGAAGACAAATGGAAAAAACATGCTGAGGTCAAAACAAGGTGGGCCCAAAACTAAAGACTCCTACCAACGCTACTACCAGCACCTCCAACCACCTTTTCAACACTGATTTACAGGGGTCAGGAATGTTTGAACTGGGTTGTTTGGGGTGGTTTTTCATCCGAGGTTATCATTACGTAGCCTAAACTGATGGATCACCCCTTCAAACAAAACAGCCCTGCACACCCAGCGGCACTGCATCGGCGTCATTAAAGTACAGCTGTCGGCGCAGTTCCACGATTGTCTTCCTCAATTCACCGACCTCCTTGTTGTGTTGCTGTAGAACACTCTCCCGCAGGGCTTCCAGCTGCATGCCCAGCAGGCAGTCCAAAGTTTTTTTCGGTGATGGCGACGGCATTGCGGCAAGCGTCGTAAACTGAACTAGGCAGCGAGGGATGCCGGAAGATCGTGGGTCGCGAGCACTCGATTTGAACAATGAGTCGTGGCCACATTGCCTGGAAATCGCAAATCGATCTAAAATCGACTCTAAGAGCCACAATGCCAGCCAGCAACAACATTTTTTCCCAACAACTCTTGCAACAGTGCCCAAGCAACCACTACGTATTGGCACGGCCAACACACATCCAGAATTTTAGCAGGAATGTAGGACAGCCTGCACGGTCCTGCATGTGACACCGCCAAATCAATCCAAGAAATTGCTTAGCTGTCCTGCAGACACGGTTCCATGATTTGACGGTGTCATCTTCTTCGTTCCTCAGCCCTCCAGCACCTAGAACTAGGCCTTCGGCCTCAACATACACCGCTGCATTAGGAGAAGAGGGACTCCTGGCAGCAAAAAGCTCACACCTTCCGTTTGACTCTGCTTCCGTAAGTCCTTGATCATGCGTTGGAACGCCTCGTCTGACCTGCAAGAGACAAACACAAGCAAAGACGTTCAATGCAAAAAAGCATGGAGAAAGCCCAATGGATCCAGGCTGCAACTTTGAAGCCCATGGTGGTGCAGGCGGGCAGATCTGCAGCCGACACAGCTTTTGTGAAAATCGGCGCACAGCGGCCGCGACAGCCTGCTGCATGGTCTCTTTGATGAGCTTGACCTCCTCCTCCGTTAGGAAGTTTGCCTGGCGTGCACGGAAAGACCAGCCTTGAAGATTGTCAATTGCCAGTTTAGGCTTCCGCAACTGCCTGGGTCGGCCGCAGCTCAGCGGGTGGAAGCGGAAGAGCCTGACCCCAGAAGGCCCAGATTGCAGCAAATCCTCAGGAGGTTTTCGCAGACTCAGCAAGGGACAGGGTTTGAGGATCCGAAGTTCGCAAAGCTCTGCAGGACCTCAGCAATTGCAGACGCTGAACCATGCGGGACATTTGTACCGGCCGCAATCATGGCACGTTATGACTGGCCTTTGACATGCATCTGGGATCACTTAAACAACTTCGCAAGGCGTAGTTGCAACTAATCCCTTTCGATTCAAGACTGAAGCCCCCGACTTCCTTCTCACCTTCTCCTGATGTGGGTTGCAGTCTTAGGCGCGAGGATTCGTTTCTTACTGCCAGCAAGGAGCTGTCTTGCCAAGCTTGCACGGGCTGCGCAGACCTGGAAGCCTCCCAGTCCATTTTTAGTGTCTTTCTCCTGCTATGCACCGAAGGCTCCCAGCCTCAGCAGCCCCACTCTGCCAGCAGCCCCAGTCATCTGGCAGAAACTCACGAGACTCGGGCAAATCTATTTCCTACAATTACATCGAGACCCCACTGCAACTCATCAACCTGCTGCCTTCAGCCGTCGCAGGACAAAGCCCCTTGTCTGTACCAACCTGCGCAAGCTGCTCATGAAGTTGCTGCTACTGACTGCTTCGCTAACGAGTTAGATGATGCATGATGATGTATGGAAAGGGTGAGACAGGCTGGTTTGGGTCACTCCGGGACCCCATGGAGTTATGTGCTGATATAACTATATATATATATATATATCTAGCCGTACATACATACATACATACATACATACATACATACATACATGCATACATACAGGGCTCCATGAAAATGCATCTAGGTGCCGATTTGGAACCCTATGAAAATTCAGTGGGGCTCTTGAAATGAGCACCCCGGACAGATTGGGGACATGATGGCCGAACTCAAGCAAATAGCCACGAATCAGGGTTTAGGGTTTCGGGCTTAGCGAGGTACACCCTGAGCCCTGAACTGCCTGGGTTAGGGTTTTAGGCACTTTTCAAAAAGAATGCAACACAGAGTCCAACCCTGCAGAAAATCCGGAAACTCGAAAACCTCAACTCTGAAACCAGAACTCTGAACCCTAAGCAAGCCCTATAATCCCTAAACTGCCAGCCCTCAACCCCAACCCACTGACTCTGAACCTTTGCAAGGTCGCTGCACCAGGCCTAGCGGATCCCAAGGATGTGTAACACCCCCCCACCCCCAGCAGCTAGAGCAAAGCCGATCAGCGCGTGCCTCTTCATCGCTGCCTCACAAAGTGTTGGGTTCAGGAGCTCCAAAGAACGCAAAAGGGGGATGCACCTACTTCGGAGCCAAGAGCAGCGTAGCCGTGCTCCTCACCATCGCTTGCACCGGCTTGGTCCTGCACTCGCATCCCTCTGCTAGACCACATAGAAAAACTACGCACAGTGAGTGTGAAGCAAATTGTTTTCCAATCGTCAAGACCGGAGTCGAACTTTGTGAGCTGAAAGTGCTTGCTTGATGCACACATGTTTCATGTGAGTCTCACTCACATAGTCGCATAGATGCCAACCGGAAGAGATACAGTCTTTTGTGCGTGGCGACCGTGGGGCGAGACCAAGACTGAAATCGATGAGCCGAGGCGACGAATTGAGAGTGGGACAGTGGGATGGTACTTGTTTCGATGTTCACGAATACCGCGCCCGGCTTGGGTTGGCAACCCATGCAGTACCTAGACTAACGAACGGTCAGCGAGTTATCACACTTGGGGCAACTTAGAGGCTTTGAGTCATTCAAGGTTCCCCACATGCGTCCGATGCGTTCGCGACACACGACACAGGCGAGTTTGCTTTGCATGTCGAGTCCTTCTCACAAAAGGGTCGGTGCGCTTCAGGCCTAGATTTGGAATCATATCAGAAGTTCAGAGCCTGGAGGCGATTCGCGAAACACGGGGTGTTGAGAGCTGACCAATGGGATGAGGCGGATCCCAAACCTGGCTGGCACACATTGATTGAGGAGAAGCGATGCTGCCTTGAATGCATTGGCTGATGTGTGGTCAGACCGCACTGAACAAGTACCGGCTAAGCATGCCCATGACGTAAAATTCTGGAATTTTGGGCTGGCATCTGGAATTAAACGCGGTGGGACCATGGACCTCTTTGTAAGAGATGTTCTCGATGTCCCGAGCTTGCTGTTGAGTTTGCGGCTGAAGCTGTCACAGCAGAAGACCACTAGTCAAGCTCTGGCAGCTTTTGAACTGTCTATGACAAATTCGCAAGCTAGGAGGTGTGGCTTCTGCAGTAAGCTTTGCCCACAGGAGCGAAACCCTAAAACCCCAAGACCCCAAAGCAGTAGCCTAAAACCCCTCAGGCAGATCCCAAAGCCCTCAACCTAAACCAAACTTCTTGCCATCGATAGTTTGCCTAGTGCCGACGGTGTGGGTCATGTTGGCCGCCAATCGGACACTAACGAGGCTAGAATGTTGATGCTACAGCCCTATCAATGCGAAGAGCCCGAGTGCCACTTGGTCACTAGGACTGAAAATGGAGCGCGGGGAGGTTGGCAGCCAAGAATGAATGTACAGGCTCGTGCTCTTGACTAAACGCTAGCACAGCACAAAAGCGTCAGTCGATCAAGCGCACATGTTTCTCACCGCAGTGCAAAGAGTAAGGAAGCTCAAGAGGGCCCTTCTGTAGGCCGAAAAGCAGCGATCCATGACGACAGGTCAAGCAAAACCGCAAGCGCAACTTTAACACTGGTCTACTTTCTTTTTGACCTGTCTCAAGATCACCCAGGGCGCCTTCAACCATTCGCGAAGTGCCGACATGAGATCGCTGGACAGCTTAGTGAGCCCATCTGCGCGTATAAGTTCTGTGGGAATCCAGTGAATGGAGTCAGGATCTAGGCTGTCCTGCACAGACTTAATGCTCACCAATGTCCGCTTCTCACTTGTCTGAGGGCTCTCTTGGATCAAACTGTCGTAGAGGCTTTTAGCATCTACTGCGTGCAGCATGCGCAATGCTGGCTTCGTCTTGTGTGCCGGGCGACCTGTCAAGATCTCGGTCAGGAAAAGATTCATGTAATGAAGACGATCTACAGCTTCGTCAGCAGCCATGGCTTCAGCAGCTAGGGTGCTACGACAAACCCTAGCACTCTTTCCTGACCGCCAGTCTAGCAACAAGCCTAGGCACGGTGTCGAAGTCACGTGAGTCGTGGTGGCAAACACAAGTACTCCGAACTGAGACTTCAGGTCGTGCGGGGAGTTAGCAAAGGAAGCGTCAGTGTACGACACTAAAGTCGTGGCGAGGTTCAGAGGAACGTCAGGAAGTGTCAGGCCGTACTCCGGCGTGCTCTTGGCAAAGTCCAAGGCGTGGTACAGGGAGTTCAAGTTGCCAAGGTTGCTGCGGGAGTTCAAGCTGTTGAGGGAGACGTAGGCGGAGAGCTCGGGTCGCGATTGCCCACAAAGCCATTGGAGGCATCCTGCCACTGATCTAAGCTCAGCTTGCAAGGCAGGAGTCAGTGGCTCTTCCAAGTCAGCATTCTTGGGAATGGTCCCGCTGCTCAAGCCTTTGATGAACTCCGTCTGAGTGATCTGCAGAGTGATCCTCCCGCGGTTGTTTGGCCGGAGTGTTAACTCCTCCTTCCCTTTGAACGTCCAGGGTTTCCCGGTCTCGAAGTAACTGAGTGTGCCCCAGGTGAAAGCTCGGTGCACCTCTTCGATGTCGTAGTCGAGGCGAAACACGCCCAGAAACTCATCGACGTAGACTAGGATGACGCTCAGGAGGTCGCCGTTGGCATCCCTCTTGATAAACAGCATCTTGTCGAAATTATGCTGGGTGTAGCCTAGCTTCAGCAATCTGGTAGTCACTTCGATGCACCAGAGGCGCGGTGCGTTCGCGAGCCCATACACATTCGACTTGATGATGTACAAAGGAGCTCGCCAGTGCTCTGTCATGGCGATCAAACCATCAGTAGGTGGTCTCATGTAGAGAGGCTGGCTCCTTTCCCCTTGGGGCTGTTGTCCCTGGAGGAACGCGGTGGAAGCGTCGGCCAGCCACCCTTTCCACTTGTGCTTTGTTGCTCCGAACTCGCCGTTGGAACCCGCGACGAGGATCATCAGGACGACGTGCTCGCTGGTTCGGCAGGGTGTTGGTGCCTGGCGGTTAAGACTGAACAAGTCTGGGTCCTGATGACCCAAGCACACAATGCGGCACTTAGCTCGCACTGGTCCCTGTCCTCTGCTCTTGTCACGGTAGCACGCACGGCTACGCAAAATGCGTTTGCAGAGGATCTTGTTACTCAAGACCTCCGCTGCCTGTTCGCGTGATAGAGGCTCCACGCTGTCCCACTGTTTCCAGGACTCGGCCTCCTTCTCCACGGCTTTCAAGTACTCTTGTACATGTGGTCCTTTCACAATGACCGTCCAGGGGATCTCTCGGTCTAGCTGCTTAAGCTCCTTCCTCGAAAGCCTCTTGCCTCCAGTCTTGTTCGAGTTGTCGACGTCGGAGTCGGCGGTGTCGCTGTCCAACGGGTTCTTGTCGGGAGGAACGTCGCCAGCGCGGTGGTCTGAGGCAAGGTAGGCGTCGTAGAACGGTCGACGAAGCGGTCCGAACACACTGCCGTGAAAGGTTTCACCAGGAGGAACTCTGTGTAGCTCGCCTGCGTCCGCCAAGAGTGTTGTCAAGGTTTCGAAAGGTCTCTTCTGCGGCAACACTGGTGGTGTCTCGCCACCGTTGGGCTCCGGCTGTGAAGCTGCTTGTGAACTTGGTACCTCCTCTGTAGGTGACCTTGACGTTGAAGAAGCGTTGCTCGCCAGTTGACCAGGTTGTGCGGAAGTTGGTTGTGACTGCTGCTGGTCAACGGTCACCGTACTAGGTTCTGGGGTTGCTGTAGCCTGACGCTTGCTCGCTGTTCCCAGGTTGTGCGGAAGTTGGTGGTAACTGCTGTTGGTCCTCTCCCTGTGGCTCTGGCAACTCGTCGAAGAAGGTGGCGCTGTCAAAGGCAGCGCCTGCAGGGCCTCGTCGTAGGAAGCTCCTGGTGGTAGTGCCGGAGGTGGTCCTGGGCCTTCTCGTAGTTGCGGACGAACGGCGGGTGAACGGCTTCTCGTGTGTCTCGGGGCCCTGGGTGTTCGTGGTGCCACGTTTGCCGCGCGAGACGGGTCGCCGAAGCTCTGCACGTAGGTGTTCTGCTGGAAGGTTGGACTCAAGGTCAGGTTGTAGTTGTCCGTTCTGCAGGTAGTTGAGGTTGTGTCGGTGGTTCGCTTCTGGCTGCTATGATTTGCGGAACTGTCGTAGGCGCCAGGTTGGGAGTCGGTGGAACGGACTCCGGATCGAAGATGTCCTCGTCTTTGTCAGGGAGCTCATCTTCGGGGGGAGGAGGTCCTGGCTGATCTTGAAAGACACTCTCGCGGATGTCCTTATAGTCGTGTCCTTCAGGCTCTGTGTATCGGCCTCGTCAGGACACCAGTCTTCCCAACCGGCAGCCAATCTCACCTGCTCCATGGCAACCAAAATGGTGCTGTTGCCGGAGCGTATCCCTGGTTGTGAGGGGTCGTAGGCCAAGAACTTGCCAGTGGTCCAGGCACCACGCTTGCGAAGTCCTCGTCTCCTCCAGCGCCAGAAAGCGATCCTTTGACCAGGTTGTAAACCCTCGATCTTCAGGTTGCTGGTCTTGCGGAGTATGGCTCGTCGAAGCCCTTGGTCCACGTTCATGGCAGCCAAGTGTCCAATTGCTTCAGAACGCGCCCGCAGGGTCCATTACCGACTGGGCGAGCGACGGCCGCATTGGTTGAAACATCCCGACGTCGGACACTGTACAAGGCATGGGGGCGGGTAAACCACAGTTGGGCGGGCAGGCGGAAAAGACGAATTTTTCGCCTGCGCCTTTGGCGCCACAGCATCCGGCGTGACTGCCAGGGGGAACCCTAGCTCGTCCAGCGGAGTGGGCGGAGCATGCGCCTTTGGCTCGGCCGGAGCCGGGCTCGCCGGCGGGAAAGATGATGGCGAAGCTTTAGGCCCAGAAGGCGTGCCCATCCGCATACACAAATGAACAATGCGGTCGCGAGTGTCAGGACGGAGACGGGATAGTTGGTCCGAGTTGGTCCACCAGCTCAGATCCTGTGCTGACATCCCCCACGGTGGCCCAGGAGCCCGGACCCGTCGAGTGACTCTGCACGGAAGAGGCGTAAGTGGGCGATGGGTCATCCGATTCCGCAGGGCGGAGCGACGGGGTCGGCTCTCCGGGCCTGGTTCGGACACGGCTGCGGCGCGCTGCATAAAATAGCGGCCGGGTGGGTCGAAGCCACCGGAGCCCGATGCATTGCCCTCAAACGCCATGACGATGAGAGACGGGGGCAAGCAAATGTGGCACAAAATCCCGAAAAACGGCTGCCGACACACATGC